TCCATCCATCCATCCATCCATCCATCCATCCATCCATCCATCCATCCATCCATCCATCCATCCATCATCTTCCTCGTGTTCTGAAGTCAGGTCTTGTGGGCAGCATCTTGAGCAGGGAGGTCCAGCCACCTCTTCCAGCTCTTCTGGGAGGACTCCAAGGTGTTCCCAGACCAACAAAGAGACGTAGTCTCTCCATCGTGTCCTGGGTCTTCCCTGGGGTCTCCTCCCAGTCGGACATGCCCAAAGCACCTTCCTAGGGAGGCACCCAGGAAGCATCCTTACCAGATGAACCACCTCAACTGGCTCCTCTGGATGTGGAGGAGCAGTGGTTCTACTCTGAGTCTCTCCTGATAACTGAACTTCTCCCCCTGTCTCTGAGGGAGAGTCCAGCTACCCTGCAGAGGAAACTCATTTCCACCTCCTGGATCCACGATCTCATTCTTTCAGTCTCTACCAGAGATCATGACCAGAGGAGAGGGGAGGAACGTAGACCGACCAGTAAACAGAGAGCTTTGTCTTACAGCTCAGCTCCCTCTTCACCATAGCGGACCAGAACAGAGTCCACAATACTGCAGATGCTGCACCAGTCTGTCTGTCAGTCTCACGCTACATTCTTCCCTCACTCGTGAACAAAACCCTGAGATACTTGAACTCCTCCACTTTCACCATTTAATAGTTCAGGATAACTTTTAATGTCTGATTTCCTACTTTGAACTGAGTACCTTTGAGCAAACGCTTGATTTGAGTTTTGCTCCTGAAACAGAAAAACAAAGGAATTTATTTTACAGCGCAGACCCCTCATCTTTAATCTAAAACCAGGTGTTTTGTGATATTTTGAGCAGCTTCAGCCTCCTCCTCTGAACACCCCTAACTGATCTGAAACTGTTCCTCTGGACCGGGTCTGACACTCCACCCGTTTCTTCACCTTCCACAACGTTGTTTAATCTCTGCGACACCATCAGCGCTGCAGATCTGGCTCATGACAGACCTCATCCACCCAGAGAGATGGCCAACCATCTGTCGCCGGAGCCCAGAGACCTCGTGCAGCAAAAGGACCAACTCCATCCCAAACCACCCCACCCGTCACCCCCTCCCAGGACCCATTATCTCTCCCTAATGCAGCCAGCATTGCTCCTAGAGGGTCCCTAACAGGCACCAAAAGGGCCACTACTTATCCTCCTTATTTCCCAAATGAGCTCTCTTTAGGACATACATAATTCATTTGTTCATATTACCTACTTTAACCCATTTAGCAAAACTCAGGTTTGTTTTCTCCCATAGACGTGGAACTGTGAGTGCACCAGTAAACTGTGTGTGACTGTCTGACAGAAGAAAACAAAGCTGTGAAACCAAGATGCAAAAGGAGAATTAATAAAAATAAGAGGCTGAATGTTGGAGATTTAAATCAGAAGCAAAGTATACCGATGTAGCCAGATGAAGACAGATATTACAAGGGTAAATTTAGACCACCTCACATTCATAATACCTAATGCCCTTTAAATAGGCTTAAGACTAGAAATAGTCTCTAATAATTAATTACTTTCAGTAGATTTTCCTCTTCTTGCTTTCCTTTCCACGGGCAGAATAGTTCTTTCTCTGTGAATACGTGGCGGCCATGTCAAATCTACTGAATAATGCACCTGTTACAATACACCTTAATTTCTTGGAGAAAGAGAAAGTCACGGAGTATGCACTGGTTAAACTGGACACAGTAATGTAATGTTTTAGAAAAGTAGTTTTTTTAAGATAATGCGTTTTCCTGCACAAAGGAGGGCTTGGATGAAAGGAGTGTGCACGGCGTGGTGAATGACAGTGGATTTACTGGTTAACCAAGCGGTCCGCTACAGATGTTAAACACAAATATAATTAATGCACATGTGATCTTTAGCATGAACAAGCGGCACGACGATGTCCCCCGTCGCTGACGGACATGAATATTAAATGTAGGGGCTTTTTACTGTTTTCTGATTTAGTGATAGACTCGTCACAAAACAGGACCTGGCATCACGCAGCCTTCACAACATTAAACTACACTGTGACAACAAAAAATCATTTCAGCCCGTTTTGTCAACCTGCATGTAATTATTAAAACAATAATTTACAGGTGCCTGCCTTGGTGCCACATCATAACTTTTAATGTCCCATCCTCAGGTCAAATGTCTGCTACAAACATCTGTTCTCGCAGACGTTTCACACAGTGTGAGTTGATTTAGTGTTTCTGTTGTTCTGTGATCCTATGTTTTAAATGCGTTTTATTATTTCTTCAGTATTATCATTAGTGTATGGTATTTTTAATAAATTTTCCTCCCACTGATGTTGTTGTTAAGCACTTTGATAACAGTTTCTGTTTTAAATGTGCTCTATAAATAAAGTTGACTTGACTTTATTGTCCTTTCCTTCACAATCCTCTTGGAATAACATCCATCTCCTCCTCACGTTGTTCTCCGTTCCACTGTTCCTTCACCGATTTGAACTGTTTTACTTTCAGAAAACTTGTGCTACTTACCTCCTTTCTCCTTCAAGGTGTTCTCTATAACTTTATCAGATGGACTTTTCAAATCTCGGTGTATGTGTCAGCTACATGGTTCACACGTTGACGTAGCGCTAAGCTAGCCACGTGCAATACAGACGCGCTAGCTAAGACGCTGGAGACGTAGCGTTCTGCTTCGCTCACACATTCTAACGGACCCCCCCCCCCCACCACCACCACCACCACCACCACCACCACCACCACCAGGTA